ACAAGTTTTGTTTTATTCTATTTATTTTTAATTTTTTTTTTAACTGATTGACCGTGTATAACATAAGCAGTTATTTATTGATCTCATTGATACTGGCGTATGTCCATAGACCTAACGCAGATTTATGTACAGTAACTATATCAACACATAATTAAAGAAAGACGTGTATTTCATTGGTTGAAAATCACACTGCATAAAATTTATAGTGTACTGATGGCTTAACAATTAAAATTAAAAAAACGAAAGATAGAAAGCCTAGATACCACATAATGATATCAAATTCGCATCGAGGACATAATCAAAGAACTAGAGCGCACTGGCTATATGTATATAAAAGAGATTATTCTACAAATTAAAGATGTTTTACTTTTATTATTTAAACCTGTCACATTCCTCAATAAAAGGACATAGTGTACACAACATAAAATCAGAATAGATTTTTTTGTGTCTATATTCAATACTGGCTAAAGGGTCTTCTTAAAATGAGAGTTATATGTAAATAGAAGGGGGGGGGGGGGGTCTTAACTTATAGAGCTAATACATGTTCAGTTCTCCATACGAAAAAATAAATTGACAATAACAGCCTTTGACTATATTAAAGATGCCCTCTAAAAGCTTTTGATGACAAAACAAATACACGTGGAAAAAATATGAGATGGGATTTTTTTTTTTTTAACCTTTGAAAATAAAAACTTGTTTTAAAAAGTACTTGGGGAGAAAAACCACTGCAATAACAACACAATTATTATTTTCCGCAGATATTGAAAACTTTTTGAAAGGAGAAATATAAAGGTAAAGAAAAAACACAAACATTTATGATCTTATTTTAACATTATGATGTAAAAATGATTATGATAAAATTAATACATGAAATATGAAAACAAATAAATTGTGACTTTTTTTTCTAGAATATTTTTTTTTATTAGAATACTGTAATGGATTTGTTGATAAAATACTTTCTTTAAAACAAATAATCATTTCTTAGGCTATTTTAGTCCCTTCCCAGATTAAAAACAAAGACCACAGTAATTATCAGTAAATCTCAGCATCGACAGCACATCAACAGTATTTATCAGTATTTATCAGACTCCACAGTAAAGACGACAGTAATTATCAGTATTTATCAGAAACAACTAAAATTATCAGCAACGACAGTAATAATAACAGTAAATATCAGTATTTTTTAGCAAGAACAGCACCGTATCAGTAATTATCAAACATTATCAGTAAAATTTGGGATTCTCAGCACTTTTTTCGTCCAGCAGTGTCAGACTGTTAATTGAGTTTATCACATATACAAACCTTGGTACTTCGTCTGCAAAGTGATTAAAGCATTTTCTCGAGATCCGCCTCAAAAGTATTTCGTCCGAAGGTATGGGGATCGTTCCTCTGGATGAGACCAAGGTTCCATGCCGCAATAAACGCTGGCACAAAAAGATCCCTCACTGCTCAAAGACCATAAGTGCAGAGTACAGGTCAAAATTTGGAGTTGTCCGCCTGCATTTAACGGCGTCTAAATATGAGTAAAAAATTCTTGAAAGGACGTTAAACAAATTAACAAACAAACAAAAAGCTTGCGGATATGTTAAGGCTACACTCTGATATTCCACTTGTCAATACAGTATGACGTAATAGTAGGCTGAAATTTAAAGATTTCATAATATCCATATTTATTGATTTATATCAGATGGAAGAGATGAATGAAACCTTATCATATTTTACTGGTATAAATAGCAAAGTATTTGTCACTGAGGTTAAATTCCTGACCTCTGAGGTCATAATGATCTAATATTGGCCGAGTGAAAAGAAAACTTAGGGAGATTTCATGAGAATAAATGTATAAAATGAGAGTTAAAAGAGCATTTAGCTTAAATTTTGTGCAAGATTCAAAAGAAATTAAAGGTACACTGATTTCTTTTTATCATTTTTTTTCTTATATATGGACAGACAGTGATTCAAAATTCCGATCAGCCCTTCCTCTGTTGTTTTAACAACAAATATGCAAAAGTTCAACACTAAGCCGCAAACTTTGAAACATAATTTTTAATTGTATTGAAAGCTTGTATTCTTTATTGCTAGAGAATGCTGCTACAATCATGTGGTTAACATGGCTTTCTTAGAAATTCTCCGATCCTGTTTAAAATGTAAACATGTTGGTATATTTTTTTTTTTTTTTTTTTTTGCGAAAATGTGGAATCATTATTTTTTTGACAAAAAATTCGATGCTAGCGCACATTTCATGGCCCAGTGATATTTTTACATATTTTTTTCTGAACACAGCAATAAATTATCTCCAAGGTAGCGTTGAACTTTTCACTTTTGTTATTAAGACATATTTTCTATTTATAGACGTTACAAGATGATGTAGTAGTCGTAACGTTCTTCTAGCTTAAGACTAATTGACGTCTATACAATGGAAAATTATAGTAAATGTTTCGTCTATGGTGTATCCCATTTCTCAGTTTTAGATTTTTATTTAAAAAAAAGTTTCAATAGTGATCTTTCATATCCACGGTTGTGACGTCACAATGGTTTTTGAGTGAATATGATCGTCAATTAACGTCAAATGATACTATATACATATTATAAATTCATTTACAAAACATCGTTAAACGTAAAATTCGTAGCTATGTGTAAAACGTGATACTTTAAAAATATACTTTGAAATACTTTAAAGTATACTTTAAAGAAGAAATAGATGCTGAACACATTCTTTTCTAGTCCTTGAAATGAAACATTGTTCTATTCCAGCGAAAAAAATGTCAAGACCCGGGATCATAGGGCTCATGACGGGTGTGACCGGTAAACAGAGGATACTTACTTTACCTAGGCACCTGATCAAACCTCTGAAAGTTCCAGCTGATTTATGCCATATTTAAATAACTGTATTGTTTATATACATTTTTTTTTTAATTTTCGCCTTCTTTCAAAATCTTCAAAGAGATTATTGGCTTAAAAAATTAAATCTTAACCAAATTTTTTGGCATAGAATAGTTCAATTTTGTTCTAAGTGTGCCTTGGGCTCATTAGGGACACAGAAGGGGATCAAGTTTACATGGGTGTCCATGCAAATCTATCTTAAATTGTTTTCTCAAGAACTACTAAACACTATAATAAGCATTCAGAATGTGTATGGATTCTCTGGTTATGGAGATTCAAGAGTTTCAAATCACGGTTTCTGGAATGGGGGGGGGGGGGGGTTCAAGGCTGAAAATGGAATTATACAGGACAATACTCAATAAAATCTTTTTTTGAAATTTTATTGTTGTAAGGATGCAAATATCTATATATATAAAGGTATGTGATTCGTGAATTAGTTCATATCAAGGACATTTGAGCTAAACAAATGTGCAGATGTGAGGATTTTTTTCTCTAAATATCCTTCCGCCACAAGAACTACTTCACCATAAATCTGGTTTCAAATTCTTCATGACTTTGTGAGCAGTTTTTAGATTCTATGCTAAATTGAGATGCAAACAAAGCTATTTTCAAGGTACAGCTAATGTTTTAACAAAAATAAAAGTTTCCTTCAATTTCTATGAAAAGCAAATACACATTGACAGAAACATTTTGTTAAATTTCTACATCAAAATATTTTCGGCCTTTAAAACAGAATAACCAATTTTAGTACTGTATAAGTAAGTTTTTTACGGGTTATTTTTCCCTTTCCAGGTTTAATTCTATACATGAACTCAGTATACTCTAAATATAAGTGGTACCACTTACTTAGAAATATAAAATTCTTTGAAAGAGGAATATAAATGATAAGATGTTTTGATTTACCTACATAACATACTGTAAGAATGAAAACCAAATAATGTCTCAGAGATAGAATTAGAAATTATTTTAGAGCCTGAAATGTCTAGTATTTGTTCTTTTCATCAATGGGAGATATATGATTTAGGTGCAATCTGACTCAAACAAATTTATTTACAATCCTTTATTTGTAGTGGATGTTAATGTTTTGAGTTTTAATTTTTCTATTTTTAAGAAAAATAAACAGCTGCAAAAACTATAAATACAAAGCTTAGATTGCATAGGGGAAAGTATATAAATCTATAGACGTAATATACTTATTATAATTATACTTATTTGTATTGCTATCCATGTTAAATAAGGAAAAATACCAGCATTATAATGTTGAACAAAATGCTGCAAGATTTATTACTTTTCACTTTTGTGTATTTCTCATTCGTAGGTTCTGAATGTTCTGGGTAAGTCTTTTTTAAAATACTTATATATATATATATAATTTCTAATTATTAACGGCATCATTTGGAATTGTTTGGAGGTTATTAAATGTTTTTATTTAGATACCGAATTCATATCACGAGTGGGAAAATATGGATTGATATTTAATTTGATGCAACAAATCTAGTGTCGGGTTATTTTTCTCAAAAACCTTTTTTTCTTCTAGGTTATTTCTCTCCAGTACCATTTCATATTTGGTAATTTCACGACAGGTCATTTCATTCTCTTACCTAGGTCATTTTACTCCTTATGTGCCTTATCTCCTGGACTAATATTTTTTCAATTAAAATTCATAACACTGATGAAAACTGAACGTGAGAGAGGCTGCTGCCACAATTACTGGTAAAAAAGATATTAAAACAAAGAAATCTAAAAAAGCTAAAACTTCAGTATTGTTGCCGAAACTTGCAATATAGATAATTTCCTCGTCCACATGAACCATATGCTGAAAGGAATACAGTAAAACTCGTTTAGTACGAACACGGATATTGATAATTCACGGATATAGCGAAGTTTTTTTGGATCCCCAGCTATAAAAATTTTACGAATTCCTTATACGGATATAACGAATTACGGATATAGCGAAGTAATTTCACAGGTCCCAGTGACTTCGTTATAACCGAGTTTTACTGTATTTCTAATCAACAATAAATTAATTTGATAAAAGTAATCATTTTAATCGGCTAAGAATATATCATAGATTGTAGAAAGCGCATTTTCTGGTGGTTTTATCCAGTAAATTGACAAAAAAAAATCAATTGTCTTTGTAGAATTTACAGCTTCAGACCGTGCTGTGTTGGAGAAAAATGGGACGAGAGTCTTCAAAAATGTAGTAGTAAATATGAATTTATATTACTCATATCTTTATTGTTACAAAGCGAAAATTATAAAATAATGTAAAGCTTTTTTTTCTTTCGTTTTTTTTTTTTCACCTTCTTTATGGCTTTTTCGATTTTTTAAATTTTTTTTTTTTAAATTTAGTTTATTTACATTTTCATTATTATTATTTTTTTTTTATTGTTGTTTTTAAATCGAAACATTTTCATGGTATGTAGCAATCAATTTGTTATCAGGTGAATAATAAAGTAAAAAACGAAATTCTTCCCGCTGTCTTCGTACATAATAACTAATTCTGTTTTTGTTTTAATCTAGAGTGCCCTGCTGGACATTATGGCGTTAACTGTAGTCTAACATGTGACATCCCATACTACGGATATCGCTGCTCGAGTGGGAAATGTGCATGCAATCGAATATCTTGTCAAATATCAACAGCATGCCACACAATGACAGGTGAGGGTATATATGGCAAAAAAGGTTAAATTTACACCAGGACATAATTCCTAGATTTTCCAAAGTGCTCTTAATTTCAAAATATAATACATGGCTTGACTTCATAAAGATGATATAATCAATTTAGTTTCTCTTCCTTGTGATTGTTGAGAATTAAATAAAGTTTATTCATAATTCTTTTTATAATCAATCTAATATCAGATGCATCTTGTGTATAAAAATCTTAGATTGACAAGCTTGTGCTCAATGTTTTCTGAATTGAAAAGTAACTTGAATTTGATAAAATTTAATCAGAATTAAGAACAGTCTGTGAAACGTCCCTCTTTGGCACGTTTTTGTGATCCCATGTATGTTTTAAATCAAATTTAGTGCTACATATAAAACAAGCATCATTTCAACTTCCTAACTGCAGGTATCACTATTTGAACTGTGCTTTGATTTTATATCAAATAAGGGGCCATATTCTACCGTTACCATACTTTGTCCTTTCTTTTGAATAGTCTAATTTTTTAAAAGTTCTTGATCACTTTAAAATTGGTAAGTCTTCTAGGCATGAGGTTTTCTTTTATTAACAAGAAACGTTTGAGCTTATTATCAAAGACATAATATTCGAGTAATACAAAATGAAACTTAAACTAAATGAAACTTAATGAAACTTAAAACAGATTACACAAAGTGCTTGTGTAATAACATAGATTTTGATGGTCCTTGATGATATGATGTCCTATCATACCTTTAAATGCAGAATACCGTTATTATTATAAGTTATAATAAAATGATTACCATGAAAATAGGGATTTCAAATACCTGTTCTCAAGCAGAACAAGACATAGTGGAAATCACCAGATTCATTGTATGATTTACAAATTGCATATGTCTTAGTTTGAAAGGCTCATTTCCTCTGTATTTTAAAAGAACTTGATTATAATTCTTCGTCTGGAAATCCAAATTTTAATCGCAGCTCACTTTTTTAAGATTATTTTTTTTAAAATCAAATTTCGGAATTTAAAACTTTTAACATTCCAGTCTACCAAGGTGAGTTTGATCTACGCTAACAGATTCTTAAACTTCATAAAATCCTTACAAACAGAGAAACATTGCATAGTCAAACAGCTGCTCTACTAAACCCCTATCATTACTCCTTTCAAAAATATTAATTGCTGTTTAGGAGATACCTCACAGGTACTGTGCTATATCATGTCATAGAGGTGGTGTAAATCAGAGGTGGATTCTCAGAAACTCCAGAGAACTTTTAGAAAATTGAAAATCACCAATGTTTTCAAAAGTCAGTAACATCAAAATGTATGACTTTCCTATACATTTTACTGCCATTCCTTACGTTAAATTAAAAAAAGGTTTTGCAGGTGTGTTAAAGAAACATTCAAATATTCTGACTTGACTAAATCAGTGATACAATATGACCTCCTATGCATAGTAGGCGAGAGGACGTCAGTTCTAGAACACAGGTTTTTTTCATGTAATTAAACTCCTGAAAAAGAAAAAGAAACATGCAAATATTAATAAAAATAAAATGTTTGTTATGCTTTATCCGTCACTTGGATTAAAAACTGCGACCGAGGACGTCATAACTGTTACACAAATAACTTTAGAATTGTTCATGTAGTGTACTAAGAGTTTGGTTAAGACGGCATGAATAAAGTTACGTAAAATTGGGGTTTAGAAGCAAATACCAAGAATAATGTACGTGATTCATATAGATTTAAACTCTGTTAAACAGGTATGATGATTTATTTTCATCGATTATATCGTCTATTTAAGACAGTCGGCTTTTTAAGTATCACGATCGTCCCTCTGTCGTTCGTGTCAAAATTATGCAAAAGAACAAAGCTAAGCCGGGTACTTCAAAACATATTATTATTTTATAGATCGAAAGCTTCCGTTTTGTTATACATGTACTTGGAAAGTGCAGCTAGAATCGTGAGGTATACATGGTTTGAAGAAATATCTCAGTTTATAGGTACAGAGTGCAAAACATCAAGCACGGTTTCTTGCAAATATGCAGAATAATTATTTACCCGAACGGACAGTAGGATTCTAGCATCTCCTTTTAGGCATAAAAGATGTTTTTTCAGCTATATTATTTACACAAAGAAATTATTTTAATCCGGGATGGTGTTCTGTTTACCTTTTTATTAAGGTATATTTTTTTATTGATAGCGACTAAGAAGTCGAGTGATGAAGTCGTGGTGGTACACTTCTAGACCTCAGTCACTCTGTTGTCTTTATACAAAAGTTAATAATAATTTACGTTTTATTGGCGGCTTTGATAATTTATCACACTTAAATTTCTTTAGAAAATTTTTCCGAGAAATGATTTGAATGATTCCTTAACATACCTGCGTTATTGATATCATAGTCAAGTGCTTCTTCAATAAAAATCGAATTTGGAAAATTTCAAATCTTGTGATTGGTCAATTGGAAATTACTTTGATAAAGATGATTTTGATTTATACACTAAAGTTGATATTAAAAAGATGTCTGAGTTTCTCATTGACAACCAGGTCTTCAAAAAAAATAAATAAATTGAAATTCCGAGGTGCACTAATTGTGCTATTTTATTAGCTGACCTGTTTTTGATATTCCAATGTAGCAGAATTTATTCAGAAACTTCTGTATGAGAAGAAGAGAACACTTGCTGTTGTTTTCAACTTAACATTTAGATATATTGACGATGTGACGATGTATACTCAATAAACAGTGGGTAGTTTCATTGATATATCGATTCGATATATCTCAGTGAAATTAAAGACACAATAAAGTCTGCAACATTTATTTCTTATTTAGATGTTTTACTGACAATAGACGATGAGGGCCAATTAACAGCTAATCTGTATGTCAAACGAGATGACTTAACTTTTCCACCGTCAACTTTCCTTATTTATTTAGTAATATCCCGCTATTACCTGCATATGGTGTTTTTATTTCCCAACTAACTAAATACTCAAAAGCATGCTCCGAGTACAATCAATTTTTAAACCAAGACAGAATACTTAAGTTTAATTTATTAAAGCTGCCTAAATACCTTTTTCTTTGTTTTCAGAAACAAAGAGAAGGTTTATAACAAGAAAAACAGACGCTATGGAAAGGGGAAGATCAACAAAGAATTTGAAACTATCAACAAAATCCATACAACGAAAGGGAAATAGACTGCCACCATCAACTTTGTTTACTGAAGCTTCAACAACTTTACCAAGAAATACAACCGACTTCGTTAAAGAAAATAATCTTTCATTCCCATATATATTGGGTTCGATTATTCTAGTTCCACTTTTGTTTGTCATTGTGATATGTTCATATAAGCATGCCACACTATGTTGTGAAGATATGTTTTCTATGAAAAATAAGCGATCACAAAAAGACGAAATTCATTTTGATCATGATTATGAGCAAACAGACAGAATATATGTAAATACTGGATATTGTCACCGTTACGACATTATTCAAGAGAATGACCATCAATCTCAGTCTTCCATAGAAAGTGAAGCATCATATGAATCGTTAAGCTCATTGTTCTTCATAGAAATTCAAGACAAAAACTATGATGATGTTGCAAATGTAATTTAACCGCATTACTTTGAAACATCTTATTAGTACATGTATGATTCACCGGTATATGGTGAAAGATTCTCGAATGGGACGTACCACAACGTGTAATCAATCAATATCAATCAATCTCTCAATTGATCAATCAAACATGAACTTGTATTTGACACCTTGTAAGTTGATAACATTTTGAATTTGCCATTTTAGTAGGTACCTGTATGCTGCTTAAAATTACATTTCTTTCCTAGGAACGATACGTCCCTATCAAGATATTTTAGTTACTCGATAACTTTATTTACTTTAGTGCACATCTTAGTGATTTCGTTGACTATTATTTGCTGATTTCTTGATTTACTGTGATATCATGATTCTTTAATTGATATTTCGAGTAACTATAAAATTTTACCTCAATGTTTTCTGAGATAAATGAATTTAAGTAAATAAAAGTGTAATTAACTTATTTTTGTTCTGTTTCTTGTTAAAAAATAAGTTAATATTAATCTATAGATTAATCTTTAATTCAAACTTGGTTCATATTCAGATATTGATTTTGAAGGGTAAATAGATAGGGTACATAGTTGCTTATGTTAAATGAAGTTTACGAAAAACATTTCTAAAAACTTTCTCCCCTAAGGCAAGAGGTATGAATTCTTTAAATTTGATTGTTTTATTGATTTCTTTGGCGAGTATTTATAAGCATATATATATGCTCCATTTTTGGGGGACATTATGTAAAATCGCTGTTTTCAGGAAGTTCTCATGAAATGCAGACGACGTTTATCCCTAATTAAAACTATAGTTCCAAGGGTCAAACTCCTTTTCAAAAATGTATGCAAAAATGAAATTTATTGAAAAAGATGAAGATTTTTAATCTGTGATGAATCTTATAAATACTGTTAACAATATGAAACGTGAAAAGCTAGAACACAAGAATAATCTTAAAACAACAGATGAGAGATAAGCAAGGTTCATTAGAATGTTAGGACATGTTTTAATCCTTGCTCTTTTTACAGTCATTTCATGCTTACGGTTTGTTGTGATATTTTCAGCTTTTAATGTCAAAAAGGTGTGCGATCATGTCAGGTATTTCTTCCTGAATTTATCTGTGTAATTGAAAACCCGGAAAGGATATTTTTGGCTTAGTTAAAGAGTACAAAGTATCGTAGTTTTAGGCGAATACTCAAGGAACTTAATGATTTCGCTTGCGTGATAAGGAAAAAGATTGTCTTCGTCAGAAAAAACAGTGACATTATAGTTCAAACAATTGATAAACAAACATTCAAAGTATGAAAAAAAAATTAATAGCTCTTTTAATTATTTTACGTTCACAAAAATGGAGTGTCAACGCTTTTTGTGATGGGTAAGTAAATTTCAATGATGTCAAAAATCTATTAAAATTTTAACGCTTAACTTAATGGCTTTACCTTACTAACTTA